ACAAAGGTGTATCCAAGTGAAAAAGAAGATGCACCATCTGTAGCTAAACAAGAAAGTTAAGGATAATGTAAATTTGAAAGAAACATTGTACAAATCTGTAAACATCATTGGTAGGCCAGGAGATTAATCAAATTTTAAGAGCCAACAAAGAACTAACAAACAGTAAAGGAGACAGTATGAACTACAACCCTAAGATTTTCTATAAGTTTGAGAAAGGAAAAAAGTATTTAAAGCTCATGTTGGTCCTTGAGAGTGAGCCTGCAGATATGGGTTAGCAGAAACTTTTCACAGGTAATTTGTGTCTGTCGGGTGGCACCTTCGAAGATTGCAGGAACAGCACCTCATATTTCGCTTGGGAGCCCTGCAGCCCAATGGTATCAATGTGGACTTCACAAGCTTCAAAATTTCCCCTTCCCCGACCTCATCCCAAACCAGCCCAGCTTGTCCCTGCCTCCCTGACCTGTCCGTCTTTTCTCCCACCTATCCACTCCTCCCACCTCAACCCTCACCCCCACCTCCTACCTACCAGCCTCATCCCTGCCTCCTTGACCTGTCCGTCTTCCCTTGACTGACCAACCCCCATCCTAACTCCCACCTACACTCACCTTTACTGGCTCCAACCCTGCCTCCTTGACCTGTCGTCTCCTCTCCACCTATCTGCTCCTTTATCCATCTTCTATCCGCCTCCCCCTCTCTATTTATTTCAGAACACCCTTCCCCTCCCCCATTTCTGAAGAAGGGTCCCGACCCGAAACATCAGCTTTCCTGCTCCTCTGATGCTGCTTGGCCTGCTGTGTTCATCCAGCTCTACACCTTGTTAGGTCAGAAAGTAAGTTGTCAAGAGGAGTAGAGAGCCTACAAAAGGATTTGACAGATCAAGGAAATGGGCAAACATTTGGCACATGGAGTAAACTTGCAGGTTGAGTCAAGTAGTCAGGACGGCAAATGTAATGTTGACATCTAATTTGAGAGGATTTAAATATAAAAGCAGGGATGTAATACTGAGGCTTTATAAGGCGCTGGTCAGGCCACATTTGGAGTATTGTGCACAGTTTTGAGCCCCATATCTCAGGAAGGATGTACTGGCCCTGGAGCAGGTTCAGAGGAGGTTCATGAGAATGGTCCCAGGAATGGAAAGCTTAACATATGAGGAACGTTTGAGGACACTGGGACTATACGCATTGGAGTTTAGAAGGATGAGGGGGGATCTAATTAAAACTTTCAGAATACTGAATGGCCTGGACAAATTGGATGTTGGGAAGATGCTTCCATCAGTAGGAGAGTCTAGGACCCGAGGGCACAGCCTTAGAGTAAAGGGAAGACCTTTTAGAATGGAGATAAGGAGAAACTTCTTCAGCCAGAGAGTGGTGCATCTATGGAATTCACTGCCACAGAAGGCTGTGGAGGCCAGGTCATTGAGTACATTTAAGACTGAGACAGATAGGTTTTTGATTATCAAGGGGATCAACGGTTACAGGGAGAAAGCAGGAGAATGGCGTTGAGGAACTTATCAGCCATGATGGAATGGCAGTGCAGACTCGATGGGCGAATGGCCTAATTTCTGCTTCTACGTCTTAAGGTCTTATGGTCTAAAATATACATAAACCTGAAATTCACTTTCTTCAAAAGAATAGAGAAATAGTACATAATTTTAATGGTGTGCAATGGCAGAACACTGTAGGACAGAGGGATCTGGGCATCCTAGTGCATGAATCACAAAAGTTAAAATGCAGAAACAGCAAGTCATTAGGAAGGAAAACTGGAAACAAAAATAGAAATTGCTGGGAAACACTCAGCAGACCTGGTTGCCTCTGTGGAGAGAAAGCAGAGTTAACATTTTGGGTCCAGTAACCCTTCTTCAGAATGGATGTTGGCCATTGTTGCAAGGGAAACGGAATAGAAATTTCTCTCCAGCTGTTTAGGGTGTTAGTGAGACCACATTTGGAGTTCTGTGTACAATTTTTGTCTCCTTTCTTGAAAGAAGATGTAATTGGATTGGAAGTTGTTCAGAGAAGGTTCATTCAACTCATTCTTAGGTTGGAGGGCATATCCTATAAAGCGAGATACAAAGAAACCCAAAGATACAAAGGACCCAATTCCAGAATTCCTGGTGCTTACAACTTTCAGTATGGAATAAGGGCAACAACTGATGCAGGTGATAGATCATAGAACACCAAATGTAGACAAGCAGGAGGCTGGAAGAACACAGCAAGCCAGGCAGCATCTGAAGGAAAGGACAAGTCAATGTTTCAGGTATTACCCTTCTTCAGGGCTGGAGAAGGGTAATCATAGAATCCCTACAGTGTGGAAACAGGCCCTTCAGCCCAACAAGTCCACACCGAACCTCAGAGCATCCCACCCAAAACCATCTCCCTAATCTAGGCATCCCTTGACACTACAGGCAATTTAGTATAGCCAATTCACCTAGCCTGCACATCTTTGGACTGTGGGAGGAAACTGGAGCACTTAGAGGAAACCCATGCAGACATGGGGAGAATGTGCAAACTTCACACAGACAGTTGCCCGAGGCTGGAATCGAACCCAGGTCCCTGGCGCTGTGAGGCAGCAGTGCTAACCACTGAGCCACTGTGCTGCCCCCAAACATTACATGCCTGTGGCGAATAGCAGAGGATGGTTTTGATCCATCGACTGCTGGGTTATGGGCCCAGCACACTCCAACTGCGCCACTCTACTTGTGGGGTAGTACCCAAAACATGGACTGCTCCTTTCCTCCAGATGCTGCCTGGCTTGCTGTGTTCTTCCAGCCTCATGTTTGTCTACCTTGGATTCTAGTATCTGCAGTTTTTCAACTCTATAGAACACCAGAGGACAGATAATCCTAACCATAACACTATCACAGGTACTTTGCCCACCATGTCAGCTCTGACCATGATGTTATTCTAAACTAATTCCATCTGCCTGCACACGGTCTGTATCCCCTGTTCCCGCCTGTTCATGTGTCTGTCTAAATGCCTGTTAAACATTGCTGTTGAATTTGCTTCTACCACCTCCAGGACACCTTCAGCTTCTGACACTCCAGCCAAAACAAAGTTTGTCCAATTTCTCTTTCTAGCTAATAAACTCCAATCTAAACAACATCATGTTGAGCCTTTTCTAAAGCCTCCATGTCCTATAGCATAGCAACCACAACTGCACATAATGCTCCAAGTTTAGCTTAACTAAAGTCTTATAGAGCTACAACATGACTTGCCAACTTTTGTACTCAATGTTCCAATGAATGAAGGCAAGCTGCTGTACACCTTCTTTGCCACCTTCAAGGAGCTATAGACTTGCATCCCAATATCACTCTGCATATCAATGCTCTTAAGGGTCCTGCCATTTACTGTGTGCTTTCTTGTTGCATTTAACCTCCCAAAATGCATCACTTCACACTTTTCAGGATTAAACTGCACCTGCCTTTTCTTGGCCAAACTTTCCAATTGATCTTTATCCCGTCATTTCCTTTGACAACCTTCCTCACTATCCACAATTCCACCAATTTTCATGTTATCTGCAAACTTACTATTCAGGCCACCTACATTTTTATCCAAATCATTATATAGATTAGAAACAGAGGTCCAGCACTGATTTTTGCAGAACACCACTGGTCACAGATCTGTTGTCAGAGAAACACCCTTCCACAACTAACCTCTGCCTTCTCTGACGAAGCCAATTTTGTATCCAACTTATCAACTCGCCATAGATCCCATGAGACTTCATCTTCCGGACCTACCTACCATGAGGGACCTTGTCAGATGCTTTAGTAAAGTCTATGCAGCCAACATCTATTGCCCTACCCTCAACTATTGTTACCTCCTCAAAAAACTCAATCAAATTTGAGGCAAGACCTTGCCCACATAAAGCCATGCTGACTATCCCTAATAAGTTGATTCTTTTGCAAATGCAAGTAAATCATGTCCTGAAGATTTCTCCAAAAATTTCCCTACCATCGATGTAAGACTCACCAGCCTATAATTTCCTGGATTATCCCTATTGCCTTTCATGTGAAGTGCATCTCTGGCTATTTCTAGATTAATAAGAATGAAGGCTGAATGGGATATAAATGGGCTGAATGGCCTCCTTCAATAGCACATTGTCAGAAGTCAGAGAACACCAAGTTATAGTCCAACAGGTTTATTTGAAATCACAAGCTTTCGGAGCTCTTCTCTTTCGTCTTCACCTGAAGAAGAAGCAGCGCTGCGAAAGCTTGTGATTTCAGATAAACTTGTTGGACTATAACCTGGTGTCGTGTGACTTCTGACCTTGTCCACCCCAGTTCAACACCCTCACCTACACATCATCAATAACACATTAGTAGGGTATGTAAGCTGTAGGGAATGGGGAGGCAATGTCCCGGTGATATTATCACTAGACTATTAGTCCAGAGACTAAATAATGTTCTGGGGGCCTAGGTTGAATCCCATCACAGCAGATGGTGGTGTTTGTATCCACTAACAAATCTGGAATTAAAAGAGTAATCATGACCATTAAACTTTTGTCAATTGTCAGGAAAAACCCAGCTGGTTCACTAGAGTACTTCAGGTAAGGAAATCTGCAGCCTTTACTTGGTCTGGTCTACATGTGACTCCAAGCCCACAGCGATGTGGCAGTTTCTTAACTGCCGTTTGTGCAATTAGGGATGGGGGCAATGATTGCTGATCTAGCCAGTGATGCCCACATCCCATGAATGGAAGAAAAGATCAAGCCTATAAAGTACATCACGAACTTATAAAAATATAAATCCAACCTGAATGACTGGCGAAATTTTAAACACTATTTCTGCTGAACTGGCTTCTTGTCAATTGAATTTAGATTCTGTAGAAATTGAAATTGTAAGATATTGTAACTGCCACATGAGCCTGGCTCTCACTTTCATTGTTTCACTTCATTTCTTCTTTACCCCCTTCGTCACTCAGTTTGTTATCATCTCCCTGACCCTTCCCAACCCTACTTGGCTACTACCTTTGACCAGCATTATCACAAATATTGATGTACTTTACCATTGCATTTCCATAAGGGACTAGTGTGATATTCATTATGCCGTTCAACATCAGCCAGGTGGGAAAAAGCTGTAACACGAGAAAGCTCCGACATGCTCCACAGAGACTCTCATAGTATAAGCTGATCATAACCGGATCAGCATCTTTTTTCTGTTTGTATTCCATGCACTGGTGTTCCATCTATAAGAAAGACAGACAGAGAGAGCAGCAGATTTTAGTTTAATATCACAAGTTATTCATAAAAACAGCAGAAGGCCTTTTGAATCTTCCAGATGTTCCACTGTTCAATTCGATCCAAGCTAACTTGTTCCCAATTCGACTTATCGGGCAATGTTTCAGATTCTTACCAAAATGTATAATCCTCAGTTTTGAAAACTTCAACTGCTTCTGAATAATCAACCACCTTTGGTGGGAATTGCACTGCAGATTTTCATTATCCTGTATGTAAAAGTCTCTCATGACTTAAAATGGAGGCTAAGTCCATTCACCCCGGCTGTTGGATTCCTTCACTAGAGGAAATGATTTCTTCCAATTATTCTGTCATTTTAAAAGCTTCAATTGGAGCATCTCTCAAACTTAAGGGAATACAAACCAAATTACACAGAATGGACAGCACAGAAGCAGGCCACTCAGCCCAATCAATTCATGCTGGTGTTAATGCTCGATGGAAGGCTGCTGCCATTTTTCCTCACATAATGTATCGTTGTTACCCTTGATTCCTTCCTCCTTTATGCTTGGCTAAATTCCCTATACATTTATCTATTCTGTCCAAAATCAAAGCTCCTTAGAAAGCAACTGAGATGGGGAATAGGATGAAATAAAGAAGGGTGTGTGATGTATGCAGCAAATTCTTCAAGTGAGAACCATGTCAAACACAATAGATTGAGAGAGGAATTGACAAGGAAATCAGACTGACAGAGAAAATATGAGAGTAGGATGATAATCAACGTAAAATGAAATTTAAAATCTTCAATTAATAAATAATACGCTGATTATAAAAGGTAGACTGAGTCCAGTGAGGATCAAATAGGACACTAAGAGGTGCAGGACAAAAAAAGAATAATTAATCAGCAATTTAGCAATATTTACTAAGGAAGGGCATGTTGGCAAAATATTTGTGGTGGCAGTGAAGATAATGAATGAAGTTAGAGCTGAGAAGGATGAGATACTGGAAAGGATGGACACAGAGGCCCCGGTTTTCACTATCACAGACAGCCTGCATCTGTCTGAAATCATGAGTCTGTCCTCCTTTCCTGGTCCCTTTCATTTTCACCGGTGTGGGACTGGATCAGGCAGCAATTTACACACTCATAGTTCCCAGAAGCACCTGGTCAGTCAAATGGCCAGTTGCGTCCACTGAGACGGGATTTGGAATCTTATGGTCAAATCCTGGAGAATGGAGATTTAAGGTCTGTTCAGGTCTGTTCTCAATGTCTTTCTCTAGGATAGTGATTACAGCTGGAGAGCTGAGTTCCCCCTGTTACTCAATGCCAGGACACCATGGCAGTGGGTGTTTTCTTGTTGGGGTCATGGTCTTTTGGGAAACTGACCGTGGAGATGCCATACAAAATGGTGCATCAACCCCTTGGAACTGCCAAAAATTGTCGACCCGTCACAATTTGTCAAGAAGTCTACAACAGCAGGTCAGAGACTAGGAATCCTACAGTGAATAACTCACTTCCTGACGCCCCAGAGCCTCACCTTCTACAATGTTCAAGACAGGAGTGTGGTGGAATACTCCCCACTTTCCTGGATGGGTAAAACTCCAACAGCACTCAAGAAGCTTGACACCATCCAGGACAAAGCAACCCACTTAGTTGGCACCACATCCACAAGCATCCACTCCCTCCATCAGTGATGCTCTGTAGCAGCAGTGTACAAACCATAAGATTCACTGCTGAAATTCACCAAAGATCCTTAGACAGCACCTTCCCAATCCATGAGTACCATCATCTAGAAAGACAAGGGCAGCAGATACATGGGGAACACTGTGAATTAATTTTTAAAATCATAAATTACAGAGATTTTCTCAATAGTGTGTAATCTGGAATATAGAAATTTCTCTTACTTGCATGGATACCTGTCGCTTTATTTTATTCATTCTTGGGATGGACATTGCCGTCTTGGCCAGCATTTATTAGAGTCATACAGCCATTGAGTTTTACAGCGTGGAAAGAGGCCTTTCAGCCATCACATCTGTGCCAGTCATCAAATATTTATCTACCTAGTTCCATTTTCCCAAGCTTGGCCTGTAGACTTGCATGTTATGGCAGATCAAATGATCAACCATATACTATTTAAATGCGGTGATGATTTCTGCCTCTACCATACTGTCAGGCAGTAAGCTCCAGGTACCTACAATCCTCTGAGTTAAAGAATTCACCCTTAAATGCCCTCTAAGCTCCTTCAATCTGGTTATTGATCCCTCTACTATAGGGAAACAACAGCTTCCTATCCATCCTGTTCATGCCCCTCAATCGTATCCACCTCAAATCAAGTCTTTTATCAGCCTATCTAGTCTCTCTTCATAACATAAAAACACCACCCCAGGCAACGTACTGGTGAATCTCCTCAATTCACTCTCCAGTGCAATCACATCCTTGCTATAGAATTAGAGTTAGGGTTTGGTGACCAGAACGGTCACCAACTGTGGCCTAACCAATATACAGCTTCATCATAACCTCCCAACTCTTGTATTCAAACTGGTTCTGAGAAAGGTTCACTGGATTTGAAACTTTAACTTGGTTTTTCTCTCCACAGATTCTGCAAAACCTGCTGAGTTTCTCCAGCAATTTTATTTTCTTTCAGATTGCCAGCATCCCAGTTAGTTGTTTTATCTTGCATGTAATGCTGTGTCTGTCAAAGACAAGCATTACATCTGTCTTTCTAACCACCTTATCTCCCTGTCCTGTTGCCTTCAAGGATTTATGGACAAACACACCAAGGACCCGCTGATCCTCAGTACTTTGTAGGGTCCTAACATTCAATGTGTATTCCTTTGGCTTGTTAGACCCTCCCCAAAAAAGCATCATTTGACACTTGAGGATTAAATTTATTATGCTACTGTTCAACCAATCTGACCAGTCATATCATCTTTTAGTCTAAAATTATCCTTTCTTTTAATATTCACTCATGGGATGTAGATAGCGCTGGCTATCCAGCATTTGGCACCCATCCCTAGTTCCCCTTGAGAAGGTGGTGGTGAGCTGCCTTTTTGAACCACTGCAGTCCATGTGCTGTGGGTAGACTCACAATGCCCTTCGGAAGGAAATTCTAGGATCTTGACCCAGCGACACTGAAGAAATAGCAATATATCTCCAAGTCAGATGTCTTGGAGGGGAACTTGCAGTTGATGGTGCTCCCATGTATCTGCTGTCCTTTTACTTCTTGATGACAGTAGTCATGAAATTGGAAGGTGCTGTCAGAGGATCTTTCATGAATTTCAGCAGGGCACCTTGTAGACAGCACACACTTCTGCTACTCAGTGTTGGTGGTGGAGGGCCTGGATGGTTGTGGATGTGGTACCAATTAAGTGGACTGTTTTGACCTGGACAGTGTCAAGCTTCTTGAGTGTTATTGGAGCTGTACCCATCCAGGCAAGTGGGGAGTATTCCATCAAACTCCTGACTTGTGCCTTGCAGATGGTCAGGTTTTGGAAGTCAACAGGTGAGATAGACACTGAAATATTCCTAGTATCTGACCTGCTCTTATAGCCACTGTGTTTATGTGACTTTCCAGTTGAGCCTTTGGTCAATTGTAAGCCCAAGGATGTTATCAGTGGAGTATTCACTGATGGTAACTAATGTTGTTCCTCTCTTCAAGAAGGGAAATAGGGATTAGCCAGGAAACTATAAACTGCTGAGTCTCACATCGATGGTTGGGAAACTATTAGAGAGAATTCTTAGGGATAGGATTTACATGCATTTGGAAAAACATGGACTAATTAGGGACAGTCACCATTGGCTTTGTGCAGGGCAGGTCATGTCTTACTAACTTGATTGAATTTTTTGAGGAGGTGATAAAGGTGATTAATCAGGGTACAGTAGTGGATGTTGTTTACATGTATTTGAATAAGGCTTTCAACAAGGTCCCTCATGGTAGGCTCATTCAGAAGATTAAGATGCATTGGATCCACGGTGACTTGGCCGCGTGGATTCAGAATTGGCTTGTCCATAGAAGGCAGAGGGTAGTGGTGGAAGGGTGTTTTTCAGGCTGGAGGTTCATGACTGGTGATGTTTCATAGGGATCCGTATTGGGATCTCTGCTGTTTGTGATACATATAAATAACTTGGATGAAAATGTAGATGGTGGGGTGGGGAGGTTTAGTGAGTTTGCAGATGATACAAAGATCAGTGGAGTTGTGGATAGTGTAGAAGGTTGTCAAAGGTTACTACGGGATATAAATCAGTTGCAGATATGGACAGAGAAATGGCAAATGGAGTTTAATCTGAGTAAATGTGAGGTGCTGCACATTGGGAGATCAAATGTTAAGGAAATGTGTACAGTTAACACTGGACTCTGAACAGCATTGATGAACAGAAGGATCTTGGTGTTCAAGTCCATAGCTCCCTCAGAGTGGCCACACAAGTGGATAGGCTGGTGAAGGTGGTGTATGGCATGCTAACCTTTATTAGTGAGGGAATTGAGTACAAAACTCAGGATGTCACCACATTATAGGTAGAATGTGGAGGCTTTGGAGAGCGTGCAGAAGAGGTTTACCATGATGCTGTATCAGAGATAGCAGGAACTGCAGATGCTGGAAAATCTGAGATAACAAGGTATAGAGATGGATGAACACAGCAGGCCAAGCAGCATCAGAGGAGCAGGAAGGCTGACGTTTCGGGCCTGGACCCTTCTTCAGAAATGGGGGAGGGGAAGGGGGTTCTGAAATAAATAGGGAGAGAGGGGGAGGCAGATAGAAGATGGATAGAGGAGAAGATAAGTGGAGAGGAAGCAGACAAGTCAAAGAGGCGGGGATGGAGCCAGTAAAGGTGAGTGTAGGTGGGGAGTTAGGGAGGAGATAGGTCAGTCCAGGAAGGACGGACAGATCAAGGGGGCGGGATGAGGTTAGTAGGTAGGAAATAGGGGCGGAGCTTGAGGTGGGAGGAGGGGATAGGTGGGAGGAAGGACAGGTTAGGGAGGCGGGGACGAGCTGGGCTGGTTTTGGGATGTGGTTGGGGGAGGGGTGATTTTAAAGCTTGTGAAGTCCACATTGATACCATTGGGCAGGGTTTCCAAGTGAAATATGAGGTGCTCTTCCTGCAACCTTCAGGTGGCATCGTTGTGGCACTGCAGGAGGCCCAGGATGGACATGTCATCTGAGGAATGGGAGGGGGAGTTGAAATGGTTCGCAACTGGGAGGTGCAGTTGTTTATTGCGAACCGAGCGTAGGTGTTCTGCAAAGAGGTCCCCAAGCCTCCACTTGGTTTCCCTGATGTAGAGGAGGCCACAATAGGTACAGCAGATGCAGTATACCACATTAGCAGACGTGCAGGTGAACATCTGCTTGATGTGGAAAGTCTTCTTGGGGCCTGGGATGGGGGTGAGGGAGGAGGTGTAGGGGCAAGTGTAGCACACCTGTCCCGCAATAACAACCAAAAAAGAATCCTCCTCATCCTCACGTACCACCCCACCAACATCTGGATCCAACGCATCATCCTCCAACACTTCCGCCATCTGCAATCCGACCCCACCACCAAAGACATTTTTCCCTCCCCGGAGGGACCAGTCTCTCCGTGACTCCCTTGTCCGCTCCACACTCCCCTCCAGCTCCACCACACCCGGCACTTTTCCCTGCAACCGCAGGAAGTGCTACACCTGCCCCCACACCTCCTCCCTCAACCCCATCCCAGGCCCCAAGAAGACTTTCCACATCAAGCAGATGTTCACCTGCACATCTGCCAATGTGGTATACTGCATCCGCTGTAGCCGTTGTGGCCTCCTCTACATCGGGGAAACCAAGTGGAGGCTTGGGGACCACTTTGCAGAACACCTACGCTCGGTTCGCACTAAACAACTGCACCTCCCAGTCGCGAACCATTTCAACTCCCCCTCCCATTCCTCAGACGACATGTCCATCCTGGGTCTCCTGCAGTGCCACAACGATGCCACCCGAAGGTTGCAGGAACAGCAACTCATATTCCGCTTGGGAACCCTGCAGCCCAATGGTATCAATGTGGATTTCACAAGCTTCAAAATCTCCCCTCCCCCTACCGCATCCCAAAACCAGCCCAGCTCATCCCCGCCTCCCTAACCTGTTCTTCCTCCCACCTATCCACTCCTCCCACCTCAAGCCGCACCCCCATTTCCTACCTACTAACCTCATCCTGCCCCCTTGACCTGTCCGTCTTCCCTGGACTGACCTATCTCCTCCCTACCTCCCCACCTCCACTCACCTTTACTGGCTCCATCCCCGCCTCTTTGACCTGTCTGTTTCCTCTCTACCTATCTTCTCCTCTCTCCCTATTTATTTCAGAACCCCCTTCCCCTCCCCCATTTTTGATGAAGGGTCTAGGCCCGAAACCATAGCCTTCCTGCTCCTCTGATGCTGCTTGGCCTGCAGTCTTCATCCAGCTCTACACCTTGTTACCATGATGCTGCCTGGATTAGAGGGTATGAGCTATAAGGAGCAGCTAGAAAATCCTTGGGTTGTTTTCTCTGGAGCAGCAGAGGCTGAGGGGAGATCTGATAGAAGTCTATCAAATTATTAGATGCATAGATACGGTTGACAGTCAGAATCATTTTCCCCAAAGTTGAAATGTCTAATAGTAGGGGGCATGTATTTAATGGAGATGTAAGGAGCAAATTTTTTTCTAAAACGGAGTGGTAGGAATCTGGAATATGTTGCCAGGGGTGATGGCAGAAGTAGATACAACAGGGGCATTTAAGGGACTTTTAGATAAACACATGAATATGCAAGGAATGGAGGGATATGGACCATGGGCAGGCAGAAGGGATTAGTTTCATTTGGTGTCATGTTACGCACAACATCATGAGCCAAAGGGCCCATTCCTGTGCTGTACAGTTCTATGTTTTATGTACCACCATCGAATGACAAGGGTGATGGTTAGATTCTCTTATTGGAGACGGTCATTACCTGGCATTTGTGTGGTGTTTCAGTCCAAGCTTTGATACCTTTGAATATGGTCTGCTTCAGTGTCTGAAAAGTCTTGAATGGTGCTGAACATTGTGCAATCATCGGCGAACATCCCCACTTCTGGCCTTATGACCCTCCTTACTATTTATCACACCAACAATTTTCAAGCAAGCTGCAACTTACTGATCAAACCTCCTATGTTCATGTCTAAATTTCCTATCTGTAATTGCCCTGGAGAAGGTGTAGTGAACTGACTTCCTGAGTCACTGTGAAAGGGTTAGAGTTAGCTCTTAGCATGTAGGGAAACATACAGTGCTGTTTGGCAGCCAGTTCCAGAAAGTATTGTATTAGTTTTCATAGTTATCTTGATGACAGCCAGCTCCAACTCGTCACCACCTCTCAACACAGCCACTGTTTATTAATCATCAGATTGCTTACTTGACATCCAGGTCTGGACCAACAGAAATTTAGTCCAATTAAATATCATAAAGACTGAAAACATACCCTTTGTCCGTCCTTCAAACATTGATCACTAGCTACTGAGGCCATTCCTCCCCAGCAATTGTCTAAGATCAAATCAGCTAATTCACAACTTTGCTGTCAGATTTGTTCCCAAGATGATCTCCCCAAACTGAATTTTGTGCCATCATTAGGAACACCATTTCTACCTCCAAAACATTGTCCAACCATGACACCAAAACCATCACTCATACTTCTGCTACCTCTGCATTCAAGTACACTGGATCATCTCCAGATTGTACCTCTATAAAGTTGAGGTCATCCAAAACTCTACCTCATGTCTTAATTTGTACTAAGTGCTGTTCCCCTATGACTCCATGCTCACCGATCTGCATTGGCTCCTGGTCAAGCAACATCTTTTCAGCAAGACGATTTTGAACATCATGCAAGTAATATCTTGAGCCCAATGACCTCACAACAAATGACCCTGCCTCAAGATCTTGGAGAATTTGCTGACAATTTGCTGAGAACAATGAAATGCTATTTTTATAGGAATTTGTTTTTAAAAAGATACTAAGCAGAATGTGAAAAATGTTCACGTTAAATTCTAATTCACAGTTTAAGAATTTCATCATTTTTGAAAACTTACAGCCATACCTGACAGGCAGTTGCAATTTCGAGTGAACTGCACCATTGAGCAGGAGGGTAATTACAGGGTGGTCTGGCCTCACCCTCTCTCACTGTCCAGAGCAGCAGACACACGAGGAACCCTGCAACCTTCATTCTTCACAATCAATTTCAAACAAAGCTCGGAATCCTCCACTAAACCAGGATATAGAGGTGACTTCCTGTACCTCTCACATGACTGAGTTGAAAGGTTAACCCCTTGGGAGCTGATTTCACAAATTAATCACTGCAGCTGCTCAAAAATTCATCTGACTCATTTTGAACTTCCACAAGCATGCAGAAGTAACAGGGAGAATAATAATAAATTGGCTAATTGCACTGCACCACAACCCATGACTGAAAATTCTACTTTTATTTTCTTGTTTTAGACTTTCTTAAATTCTTGTTTGAACAATTCTAATTCATCAAGCATTTCATGAAAGGTTAGGGTTTTATCCCATTGAGTCAATTGTGCTGAATTGGAGAGTGAGGGGAGTTTGTGTCTGGCCCAGCAGAGGTAGCAGCAGAGTGGGATACAGTCAGGGAGGGGAGTCAACATTGACTCCAGACTCCAAGAAGCACTGAGGATGGCAAGGTGCAGAATGTACTCTGGGTGGGGGATTTCAATGTCCACCACCAAGACTGGCTCAGCAGCAGTACTACTGATCGAGCTGGTCAGGTCCTAAAGGACATAGCTGCTAGACTGGGTCTGTGGCAGATGGTGAGGGAACGAACAAGAGGGGAAGATGTACTTGACTTCATCCTTACTAATCTACTTATTGAAGGTGCATCCATTCCTGACAGTATTAGTATAAATGACTACTGTGCAGTCCTTGAGGAGACAAAGTCCTATCTTCTCACTGAGGATATCTTCCATCATGTCGTGTGGCACTGTAACTGTGCTAAATGGGGCAGAATTCAAAGAGATCTTACAACTGAAATCTGAGCACTATGAGGCACTGTGGGCTAGGTGGGCTATCAGCAGCATCAGAACTGTATTCAACTAAATCTGCAACCTTATTTTCTGTATTATACCCCAGCAAGCCATTCAATCAACCCTGGTTCAATAAAGAGTGGGAAGGCAGACTGGGAGCAGCACCAAGTATGCCTAAAAATAAGGTGTTAACCTGGAAAAGCTACCAATCAGGACTACTTGCATGCCAAATGCATAAACAGCAAGTGACAGACAGAAGTAAGCAATCCCACAACCAAGAGATTAGATCTAATCTCCACAGTCTTGCCACATCCAGTTATGAATGGTGGTAGACAATTAAACAACTCACTGGAGGAGACTAAACCAATTGAAACCTAGCACAACAGGGCAATTGGCAAGTCTGAAGCATTTACAGCAATCTTCGGCCAGAAGTCCCAAGTGGATGATCCATCTCAGTCTCCTCCAATGGTCCCCGGTATCACAGATTCCAGTCTTTAGCCAAATCGATTTACTCCATGTGATATCAAGAAAAGTTGAAGGCACTGGATACTGCAAAGGCTATGGGCCCTGACAACGTTCCAGCAACAGAACTGAAGACTTGTGCTTCAGAACCTGCTGCGCTCCTAGCCAACCTGTTCCAGTACAGTTATAACACTGGCATTTACCCAACAATGTGGAAAATTGCCCCAGAATGTCCTGTACACAAAAATCAGGAAATGTCCAACCTGGCCAATTACTGCCCTATCAGCCTACTCTCTAGCTAAGTTATCTCTTTACAAGATTGATCCAAATATGGACAAAAGAGCTGAACTCCAGAGATGAGGTGAGTGACAGCCCCTTGACATTAAGGCAGCATTCCGCCAAGAGTGGCATCAAGGAGGCCTTGCAAAACTGGATTCAAGGGAGTGAGGGAGAAACTATCTGCTGGCTGATATCATACATATTGCAACTTTCCATCTAGCTCATTAATGTCCTTCAAGGAATCTTCCATCCTTCCCCCATCTAGTCTACATTCAACTCCAGGTCCACATAATGTGGTTGAATTTAATTGCCCTCCAAAATAGTATGGCAAGTCAATTAGGGATGACAACAAATATTGGCCTTGCCAGTGACACCCACATCCTATGAAAGAATAAAGAAAAAAAATCCTCGATCCTTTTCTCAACCCAAATGGAAACAGAAAATGCTGGAAATATTAGGTCAGGCAGCAACAGAGAGAAATGTTTTAGATTGTCTTTTTCAAAACTGTTAGAAGGTAAAAGGGACAAGCTCAAAGCAAGTGGAACAGGGAGATTGGGGGAAAAGTAGCACAAAGGAGAATCCATGGAAGAGATTAAATGAGTAAAAGAGATGACAGCGAAAAGCATCCATACTCAAGTTCTAACCTCAATGCTTCCACCATGGTTTGTTGTATTTGTCTCTCAATTTAAGAAGCTGCTTTGCACAGACTAAACCTAGCAAGATATCGATGAAGAGCCTGCACTCGAGGAAATGAATGAGGCTTGAAACTGAGTCAAAGCAGTAGCTGACTTACCTTCCAGTCACATGACATCTCCACATACTGCACTTTAGAAAAAGAGGCAGGAGATGTTAAGAAGACAAAATCCTTTATTAAAATCTGTTACAGAGAGACAATTAAACAAAATCCAGCATGTTGAAAGTAAAAAAAAGTTAGATATTAAGCCAATAAGAAAATGCACAACCCAGAGTGCGACTTTAGTTAAAATTGTATTTCATTCCTCACCGAATCAATCAGAGTCATGGTGCATCTTGTCAAACGTGAGGAACAGTTTAAATTGCAGGATGAGAATTGGAAGAGAACTTTTCCCTTCCTGACAGACATCTCCAGATTCAGCATATTGGATTTGACCACTCACAAGAAAGGAACTTTCAATAATCTTTGTTTACTTCAGTATTTCATTTCAGTTTCAAGAATAGTTTGCAGTATAAGCCTAGAAATTACTTTCTCTGTCAAATTCAGTGACTAATGATGTTGTAACAGGAATCTTTTTGGGGAAACTTGCAGCCTGTCAACTCAGACATTATGAGGTTTCCAACTGATCATGAATCTCAGCTAGCATGCTGGGATATCTAACTCTTCACATTAGCCGCAAGATACATAACATCTGAATCACCACAGGGACAAGAGCAACAATAGGCTGTCAATGATACAGGTCTTTCTGTAACAATTAAGAGAAGATTAAAATTGACAATAATTAGCCTAGACGTGTAATCTGGAACCCCAGCAGCTCATAACTAGCACACAACTAAGGTACTTACTCATTCCAGAAGGCAAAATGTTCAAGGACTGAGGTTCAGTGTCAGACTTTTAAAGTACATTGGTAAGCGACATCGTTGAACAACACAAACTGCAACAGTTACAGTCCACAAGGGATAGAATAAATTCCATGGAGTTCACTTATTGACATCCACTACGTCAAGGCCGCACAAGATGGTAACTGATTGATGTCAAAAATTGTGCATAAAGATGAATGACAAGCTCGGCAGATCCACTCACACCAAGAAATGCTGCATTCTGCAAAGGCATCTCTAATTAGTTTCATCAAGCATTCACATTCAGCACAGGGTTAGAGACAGAGTAAAGCTTCCTTTATATTGTCCCCATCAAACACTCCAGAGCAGGTACAGCACGGGGTTAGAGACAGAGTAAAGCTCCTAAATTACAATTGATGTCAACTATTAATGCAGTATTTCACTTCTCAACAAGCAACAAGGTCAGAACATAGGCGGACTTTTAACTAGAATTCGAAATAGTGAAAACTCTGCCATAAAATGTTCAGCACTGCCTGCTAACTTTTCTGATTATCAATGGGTTTTTACAGGAAACCCATTACAAAGGATTGACCTCAAACAGCTTCTCTGTCATTTTACCAACAAGTGAACATGGGGTTTAAGTGATCACATTATATAATAGAGGAAGTCTCCAAGCTGAATGAGCAAATTGCTTTATCAAGGTTTGAATGTTGAAAAATGTAGCACTCGTTTATGAGAATTAGGTTAAATTTTTTTTAGTTCTGAAAATGTTGCATTGTTGCTTGAAGATACATTCAATCATCCTGTTACTATATGTATCAAACACTGCTGTAAAACCTTAAAAAGTTTTGCTGTTAGAAATACATTGTTGCCTGTCCCTAGGTTTGTTCTAACATATCTTCTCCTGTGACCATGAGAGTAATTTTTGATGATTTCCCAAGTAAATGTGATTTTCTGTATAACTGAACTTGAGGATTTTAGTCTCATAAAAGGTGTTTTAAAAACATATTCCAGCAGCTCTGCCTCACTACCCTGACAACTCCTCAAATGATTCAATTTAGTCCAAATTCACTTTTATGATTTCTCGTTGTTCTGTTCTATTAACTATAGGGCTCAGTTTTTAACTTTTCCTTTCTTGCGATTTCTTGTTGATTTCCTGGTTGACGAGTTTGAAGAGATTGTGTTGTTATTGTCTACATTGAGTGCAATTTCCGTGTCTGTATATGCCAAATGCCCTCTGCTGCACGTTGCTGCTTTTTTGCTGTGATGCCCAGATTCACAGGCACCTAACATTAGCTCAGTTTGCGTTACACTTTCATCTGTTCTGAAGCAGCTTTGAGCTTTTTCTTGACTCTGCAGTAAATCTGATTGATGGGGGCAACGTACAAAACTGAGCAACATGCCTGTTGATCTGGCTATCGCTTCCATCTCGGACTGCAATTCCTCTCCCTTCGGCCTCTGAACTGGTGCCCACTGTTTTCTACAGCTGTCGATTTCTGTACTATCTGTTGACAAGTCTCCAAAAGGATCTTCACACAAACCCAGAATGGGATTGGTTGTCTGACGCTCCCATTCCATTACTCCCTTTGTAGGATTTTCCATCCTTGATTTATAGACATCAACGTCTGGCACTGATTTCCAGCTGTTGGGCTCTTTAAGTCTAGAATATTCTGCAGCTGCTTCAGGCATCGAGTCAGAAATGAACTCTTTCCTGAGCCATGCTGCTTTATGCTGAGAATAGTTTACATCTGCATTACCTCCTCCCTCTATCCTTCCACTGACTCTCTCCTTCCTCATTCTTTGCCGATCAGTAGCAGTTAATGTCACATCTGCTTCATCAAAACTCACTTCCTGAACTGCTTCTTGTTTCTTAAATGAATCACGACGTTCTGACCAATTTAGCTTTCTCAACATGACTATGTCTCGGTCCCTGTCACATTGCTCTGCTGTCTGCTGCCTTGGCCTCTGAGTTCCTGTGTGAACATGGTATATGTTCTCTCCTGAGTGCTGCCTGCCACCTAACCCTTGGTTCTTGTCCATCTCAGCTACACTTTGACATTCTTTCTGCAAAAATTCATGTCTTCCTTCACATGGAGATATTTCTGCTTGTTTTACTGAGCCACACTGTTTCTTATCTGTAACATGTGCAGCTGACAGTTTCTCTGCTGATTGCATACATTTCAGTAATGGTGACCGTGGGAAATCTCCAGTTCGAGCTCGAATTGAATTTCTAACAGTGGTTGGAGGTGACAGCATCTTGCAAGGATATGATTGGATATTTTTTGAATAGCATGATAAAGGTGAGGGAGAATGGTGCGGCATGGCCACTTGAGGTGTTGGTGATGGTGTGCATGCCAGAGGGGAAGGTGGAATGCTGTTGATAGATTTACGATGTCCAGCCTTGTAACGCTGGTTATTGGGTTTGACAGCCAGTCCGTGGAGGGTGCAAGGTCTGATATTCCCAGCTGGTGAGCTTGGAGCACTTGATCCAGGGGAGATGTTCTGAGGTGAATTAATCCCTAAAAGAAAGAGAGACAGATTTTCATTAAAGACCTTCTCAAAGCTATTTCTTTGTCTGCTTTTTAAAACTAAAATTGTAATAGCAACTCTATCTCAGTAGTTGTCAGACTGGCTAAGTAAGAACTTTTAGTTATTTACAACTCATGGATAGAAAATGAAAAAGGATCATGCATTTAATCATAAAAGAAATATAATCCTGTTTTCTCCACAATCCAACATGAAACAAGTACAGAAGCTTATGGAATGATTAGTTGTCACCTGAATTGAGCTCAGGAGCAGGACTTGGGCAGGGTGTTGCTGGTCCTGGAGACAGACTGTGCGTTGGTGACCCTGGAACACTTTCACTGGGTGAAAGAGACAGCTGCAAGGCAGATGAGAAGCTTTTGCTCGTGCGTATCGCTGGTGCCTGCTTGGAAATCTTCTTGAAGTGTGATCTCTTTCTGGTAACAGTAAAAGTAAAATTTGGCTAATTCACTTCCCTCAAGTGTAAAGAGAAAACTGGGATACCAGCTCCCTCCTGGACATTCACTACACAGTTGGTGATTTCAAGAATATTTCTAGCTGCTGAGTCAAGTTGTCTTTATTGTTTCTTGAAAGTGTTGTTAAAATATAACTTTATACTTTAGCGAAAGATCAGGTTTAAAACAGAGAAGTGTATAACATAAGAGTCATAGAGTCATACAGCATGGAAACACATCCTTTAGTCCAACCAGTCCATGCCGACCATGTTCCCAAACTAAACTAATCCCACCTACCTGCACTTGGCCCATATCCCTCCAAACATTTTTTATTCATGTACTAATCCAAATGTCTTTTAAATGTTGTAATTGTACCCACATCCGCCACTTCCTCAGGAAGCTCATTCTACATGTGAACTACCCTGTGTAAAAAATTGCCCCCATGTCTTTTTTAAATCTCTCTCCTCTCACCTTAAAATTGTGATGATTTCAATGCCTCTCTGTAAAACCTTTCAGCAATTTCATTCACGTTATCCATGGTTTATATTTGTTGGCTTTGAGTACACGTTATCATGAAGAAGTTAATCCACCATCAATGTTTTGAACAGATAGCAATGCTCCCGAAACATCACCATAAAAAGTTAGCAATAAACTTCTCACAACATGGTGAGTACTATTTAAAGAAAATTACCATTGTCCAAGAGCCTCAAGATCAGGGTAACAGCACCAACACTGGCCACAGAGATGGACAAGATTAGCAATGTCTTGAGAAGTTCTTTGACTGACACTGACTCTGAGGAACCTAACAGAAGCAGTTAAAGAGATGGTGAATGCTCTGATTGTAATTTTACAAAAATCCTTGAATTCAGCAGAAGTACCAGAGGATTGGAAACCTGCCAATGTCACCCCCTTATTCAAAAAGGGAGGGAGGGAGGCAGAAAGTATATAACTATAGGCTGATTAGCTTCACGTCTATTGTTGGAAAAAATGTTAGAATCAATTATGAAGGAAGTAGTAGCAGAACATTTAGGAAATCACAATCTAATCAAGCAGAGTTAGCATGGCTTCATGAATGGGAAATCATGTCTGTCGAAGTTACTAGAATTTTTTGAGGAAGTCCCAACCAGAGTGGATAGAGGGGAACAAAGTTAAGTCTAAGATAGGAGAACACTGTGTTGAAGGTAGGATATTGGCATGGATAGAGAATTGGCTAATGTGCAGGAAACAGGAATGTAAAGGGAATTTGTGCACGGAGCCAAAAGAGATAGGAGAGGTCCTTAATGAATACTTTTCTTCGGTATTCACAACTGAGAAGGACCTAGTTGTAGGGGACAGTGTGAAACAGGCTGGTAGGCTAGAGGAGGTGGATGTTAGTAAGGAAGATGCACTAGGAATTTTGAGGAACTTGAAGTTAGATAAGTCGTCCGGGCCTGATGGGATTTATCCTAGGATTCAATGGGAAGCGAGGGCCTTTGGCGATGATCTTTTTGTCCTCACTGTCCATGGGTATAGTGCCAAAGATTGGAGAGAGGCAAACATCATTCCTTTGTTCAAAAAAAGGGAATAGGGATAACCCCGGAAATTACAGGCCAGTTAGTTTTACTTCAGTGGTGGGCAAATTATTGGAAAGGGCTCTGAAAGATAGGATTTATGATCACTTGGATAGGCACAGTTTGATTTGTGATTGTCAGCATGGATTTGTGAGGGGTAGATCATGCCTCACAAACCTTATTGAATTCTTTGAAGAGGTGACCAAACACGTGGATGAAGGTAGAGCAGTGAATGTGGTATACATGGATTTAAGTAAGGCGTTTGATAAGGTTCCCCATGGTAGGCTCATGCAGAAAGTAAAGAGGCATGGGATAGTGGGAAATGTGGCAGATTAGATTCAGAATTGGCTGACCCTTAGAATACATCGGGTGGTAGAGGACGGAAAATATTCAACATGGTGCTCAGTTACGAGTGGTGTACCACAAGGATCTGTTCTGGGTCCTCTTCTATTTGTGATTTTTGTAAATGATTTAGATGAAGGAGTGGAAGGGTGGATTAGTAAGTTCGCGGATGATACGAAGGTGAGTCGAGTTGTGGATAGTGCGGAGGGCTGTTCTAGGTTACAAAGGGAAATTGATAGGATGCAGAGCTGGGCTAAGAAGTGGCAGATGGAGTTTAGCCCTGAAAAGTGTGAGGTGATTCATTTTGGAAGGAAAATCTTGAAAGCAGAATACAGGGTTAACGGAAAGATTCTTGGCAGTGTGGAGGAGCAGAGGGATCTTGGGGTTCATGTCCACAGTTCCCTGAAAGCTGCCACCCAGGTGGATAGAGTTGTTAAGAAGGCATATGGTGGGTTAGCTTTCATTAATAGAGGGATTGAGTTCAAGAGCTGTAAAGTTATGCTCCAGGTATACAAAACCCTGGTTTGGCCACATCTGGAGTATTGTGTCCAGTTCTGGTCACCTCATTACAAGAAAGATGTGGAAGCGTTGGAAAAGGTGCAGAGGAGATTTACCAGGATGTTGCCTGGAATGGAGGGAAGGTCTTATGAGGAAAGGTTGAGAGAGCTAAGGCTTTTCTCTTTAGAACTGCAAAGGATGAGAGGCAACTTGATAGAGGTGTTCAAAATGATCAGAAGTATAGATAGAGTGGACAGCCAGAGACTTTTTCCGAGGGTGGAGGTAGCTATTATGAGGGGGCATGGTTTTAAAGTGAGTGGAGGTAGATATAGGGGAGACGTCAGAGGTAGGTTCTTTAATCAGAGAGTGGTAGGGGCGTGAAATGCATTGCCGGAGAGGGTAGTGGAGTCGGCCTCATTAGGGGCATTTAAGTGGCTAATAGATAGGCATATGGATGATAGTATAACGTAAGGGAGGAGGTTAAATGACCTTAGGCTTAGGGTAAAATTTCGGCACAACATTGTGGGCTGAAGGGCCTGTATGGGGCTGTACTGTTCTATGTTCTATGTTGTAAACAGAAAGTGAGAATAAAGGAGATAACAAGGTGTAGAGATGGATGAACACAGCAGGCCAAGCAGCATCAGAGGAGCAGGAAAGCTGACATTTTGGCCTAGACCCTTCTTCAGAAATGGGGGAGGGGAAGTGGGTTCTGAAATAAATAGGGAGAGAGGGGGAGGCGGATAGAAGATGGATAGAGGAGAAGATAGGTGGACAGGAGGCAGACAGGTCAAAGAGGCGGGGATGGAGCCAGTAAAGGTGAGTGTAGGTGGGCAGGTAGGGAGGGGATAGGTCGGTCCAGGGAAGACGGACAGGTCAAGGGGGCGGGATGAGGTTAGTCGGTAGGAGATGGGGGTGGGGCTTGAGGTGGGAGGAGGGGATCGGTGGGAGGAAGGACAGGTTAGGGAGGCGGGGATGAGCTGGGCTGGTTTTGGGATGCGGTTGGGGGAGGGGAGATTTTGAAGCTTGTGAAGTCCACATTGATACCATTGCGCTGCAGGGTTCCCAAGCGAAATATGAGGTGCTGTTCCTGCAACCTTCGGGTGGCATCATTGTGGCACTGCAGGAGACCCAGGATGGACATGTCATCTGAGGAATGGGAGGGGGAGTTGAAATGGTCCACGACTGGGAGGTGCAGTTGTTTAGTGCGAACCAAATGTAGGTGTTCCGCAAAGCGGTCCCGAGGGTTCTTTTTCAGACTGGTGATCTGTGACCAGTGGGTTCCGGAGGGATCAGTGCTGGGATTGCAACTTTTATAATATATATTAATGATTTGGAGGAAAGGAGTGAATGTACTGTAGCCAAATTTGCAGACTACACATTGTTAGGTGGAAAGGCAGGTTGTGAAGAGGATACAAACAGTTTACAGAAAGGTATCGATAGGTTTAGTAAGTGACCAAAATGTTGGCAAATGGAGTATAATGGGAAAATGTGAAGTTGTTCATTTTGGAAGGAAGAATAAAAGAACAGATTACTTAAATGGAGGAAAACTGCAGAAAGCTGCAGCACAAAGGGACTTGGGGGAACTTGTGCACAAACACAGAAAGCTAGCACCCAGGTGCAGCAGGTAATCAGGAAGGCGAATGGAATGTTAGCCCTTATTTCATGTGGGTTGGAATATAAGAGTAGGGAAGTCTTAGTGCAGCTGTACAAGGTGTTTGTTAGATCATAAAAATAAGCATATTATCTAAGTGGTGAGAGATTGCAAAGCTCTAAGATGCAGTGGGGTCTGGATGTCTTAGTGGGGTTGAATACAAACATAGGGAGGCTATGCTTCACTTATTTGGAACACTGGTGAGATTACCTTTGGAATACTAATAAAATACAAGAGTATCTGGAGTATTACTCTCCATCATTTAAGGAAGGATGTAAATGCAATCGAAACAATTCAGAAAAGGTTTACTAAATTAGCTTTTCCAGCAATTTCTCTTTTTGTCTCTGACATCCGCAATTCTTTCAGTTTTTATTTTTACAAAATTAATATCTGGAATGGATGGGCTGTCTCATGAGGAAAGGTTGGACAGGCTAGGCCTGAATCCACCAACTTTAGGAGAGGACAGGGTGGATGTGAAAGGATGTTTCCTCTTGTGGGGCAATCTAGAACTCGAGGTCACTATTTAAAATTAGGGGGTCACCCATTTAAGACACAGATGAGGAGAAATGTTTTCTCATGGGGTCCTTGAGCCTTTGGAATTCTCTTCCTCAAAAGGCACCAGAAAACAAAGTGTTCAGATAATTCTAAGACAGAGGCGAATGGATTTTTGCTAAGTAAGGAGGTGAAAGGTTATGAGGGTAGGCAGGAATGTAGAGTTAAGGTTACAATTAGATCAACCATGACCTTATTAAATGGAGGAGTAGGCTTAAGTGGCCAAATGGCCTCCTCCTATTCCTAACTCATATATTCATATGTATCCACATTTCATCCTATCCACTTTTCTTTTTAAAGTTAGTTACAGCCCTCTCCAGTTAACTGATCAAATTTGCAAATTTCACAAAGTGACCCATACAAAAGTCCAAATTGTTGAGCAGACTAAATATCCACACAGTCCAGCAGACTTCCATCAACCACTGTCTTTGTTTTCTGTCCATTAAACAATGCCATACTAATGCCACCATGTCCCATTTCTTAGTGTGTGCCCACATTTTGGTACAAACCGCTGACATGGGAGTTTATCAAACATCTTTTATATACCTGCATTAAAAACATTCAGTATAATTTCTTTATTTCCTCAAATAACTCAGTTAAATTTATCGTAGAATCCGTACAGTGTGGAAACAGGCCATTCGGCCCAACAAGTCCATACCGCCCCTCCAAAGAGCATCCCACCCAGGCCCATTCCCCTTCCCCTGATTTCCCATGTCTAACCCACCTAACGTAAACATCCCTGGAAACTATGGGCAATCTACCTAGCCTGCACGTCTTTGGACTGTGGGAGGAAACCAGAGCACCCAGAGGAACCCCACGCAGACACGAGTTGAATGTGCAAACTCCACACAGACAGTCGCCTGTGAGTGGAATTGAACCTGGGTCCCTGGCGCTGAGAGGCAGCAGTGCTAACCACTGAGCCACCATTAGTCATTTCATAGTGCAGAATTTGAGTATTGTGCAAAGAGTCACATTTTATTGAAGATTTTCATCTTGCCCTCATCAGGGCATTTCACAAGAATTCCAATTCAAACTGATAAGTCAATCAAGAGAAAGCCAATGTTTATATTGCATGAGAGAAGAGTGCTAACTGGTTCGCAAGTGTACTCTGATTGGAAGAGATGTTGCCATGGAGAATGTACTGATTAATGATGACTGATAGTTAACTGTCAGACTTATTTAAATTTTAAACTCAGCATGTTGACCCTGATTTGTCAAACCATTGCTCTGAGAAATGAGCCAGAGAGTGGCTATCTCCTATTCTGCTGGAGTCGAAACAGTGCAGTTTGTATACAGATCCTTTCTGTCTACAAAATACAGTGCCTTATACACAAAAGAGCCTCACTGTGAACCTGACTGGCAATCCTAAATTAGCTGTCGCCAATTTTTCTACACACACTCCACATTATTTAGAAAATGCTGTCCAATCACAGAATCCTATCTAACATTGAAGCTTGCTTTGAGTTTTGCAAGCAAGGACTGGTTTCCTTTGCCTGTGCTCTACAGCCGGTGTGAGCACAGCTATGTTAGCCATACATCCCAAAAACTAGAGGACTGTAACAATCTAATTGTTGCATTAGTTACCGACTGTACCCAACCAGCACACGCTTCCAAAACTCAAAACATAGTGTCCAACATTAGATGCCATTCCGCAATTGGACATTTGCTGGATTACCCTGAGTCTGTGAAGAATTACAGTTTTGGATTGAAAGTCAGGCTCACAGTGTAGTGCAATTGTGCTAAATATAAGCAAGTTATATTAATATAATTTATATCAATACACAGGGCAAACAGAAAGAACACAAACACACACCTTGCCTGTTTCAACTCAGGTGACAGCCATTTTCTAGCCCATTTCTCAGAGAAATGCATTGACCAAACAGGCTCAACCTGCTTGGTTTAATAATTAAACAACGTTCAGCAGTTAACTATCAGTCATCGTCTAAATAGTGCATTCTCTGTGGCAATGCCATTACCAGAGTCCATTTGTCAACCAATCAGCACTTTCCTCTCATACAGCATAAACATTGTTTTCCTTTAACTTCGGCATTAGGGATGGCATGGCTCAATTCCACCCGTGGGTGACTGTCTGTGTGGAGTTTGCACGTTCTCCCCGTGTCTGCGTGGGTTTCCTCCAAGTGCTCCAGTTTCCTCCCACAATCCAAAGATGTGCAGGTTAGATGCATGGGTCGTGCTAAATTGTCCATAATGTCCAGGGATGTGCAGGCTAGGTGGATTAGCCTTGGGAAATGCAGGGTTACAGGGATAGGATGGGGGGGATCGTGGTGGCTCGGGGATGGGTGCTCATCGGAGGGTCGGTGTGGACTTGATGGACCGAATGGCCTGCTTCCACACTGTAGGGATTCTACAATGATGATTCTATGGTCCCGGTAGGACTACTGCGACTACACCTTTTGGAATTTCTGGTGAAATGTCCATTTGGTGAAATGAGTGCTGGAAATGCTTCACCAGATATTTTATTTCTCAGCAATATTCAACTAAATTTGTTAGGATGACATGCCTTTTGCAAATTCACTTTGACTGTTATTGGTCAATCCCTGCGCGTGTAGAGATGGAGGTAAGTTTTATGTCTTTCTGTACAGTTAGATTGCACATCAAGTGATCCTGACCTTTCCTGGCCATCCTTCCTTCGGTTCCTTTTGCTACATCGAGCCATCTTGCCTTTGAAGCTCATCTTCCTGGCAGGGCCAATCTTTATCGAAGAATTCTCCAGTGGCATGGAGCACAGCACTACCTTGTTTCCACTCTGCAAGAAGAGATGTCCATTCTCATTAATTGTTTGTAACAGAAGAAACATGGTCACTTTTAAAGTCAAGAAGTGCTGGAGAAACTCAGCAAGTCTGGCTGCATCTGTAAAGAGAAAGCTGAGTTAACGTTTCGGCTCCAATGGCCCTGATGCTTCCAGACCTGTTTGGTTTCTCTAGCAATTTCTATTTTTGTTTGTTTCAAATCTCCAGCATCCACAGTTCAATTACCTCATGAAACAAGAGGTAATAACACAATTGAACTTACAAGATGGAAAGCAAAAATATTCAGTTCAACAACAACTTTTTTTGAGCACTCCATCCATTAAACAAATAATAGGCTGGCATCAGCACTCCCTCTTTCTGTGTATTTTCAGGTTAAGATGGCTCAGCTAACTGAAGTTAAAGGCAGTTCACAACCTTGGAGTAAACAAGAGCTCACTGGCAGAACAGAGCATTGGACTGGACAGGAACAGTGAAGAACACAAAAAGAAATGGATATTCTGTGATTATAAATGTGGAAGTAGAACCCTATTACAGAGTCATAGGGAACAAGCCATTCGTTCTAACTCCTCCATGCCGACCAGATTTTGTAAATTAATCTAGTCCCATTTGCCTGCATTTGGCCCATATCCCTCTAAACCCTTCTGTTCATATACCCATCCAGATGATTTCTACAAGATGCACTGCAGAAATTCACCAAAGATTCTCAGACAGCACCTTCCAAACCTATGACCACTTCCATCTAGAAGGGCAAGGGCAGCAGACATATGGGAACACCACCACCTCCAAGTTCCCCTCCAAGTCACTCACCATCCTGACTTGGAAATATATTGCAATTCATTCACTGTTGCTGGGTCAAAATCCTGGAATTCCCTCTCTAATGGCATTGTGGATCAACTTACAGCAGGGGGACTGCAGCGGTTCAAGAAGGCAGCTCATCACCACCTTCTCAAGGGGCAACTAGGGATGGGCAAGAAATGCTGGCCAGCGAGCGACACCCACCTCCCACAAATGAATAGAAAAAATAGATGCCTTTTAAATGCTGTAATTGTACCAGCCCCCTCCACTTCCACCAGCAGCTCATTCCGTACACACCACCATCCTCTGCATGAAAAAGTTATCCCTTGGGTTCCTTTTAAATCTTTCCCCTCTCACCTTAAACCTATGCCCTCCAGTTTTGGACTCCCCTACCCTGAGGAAAAGACTTTGGCTAGTCATCCTATCCATGCCCCTCATGATTTTATAAACTTCTATAAGGTTACCGCTCGACCTCCAAAGCTCCAGGGAAAATAGATCCAGCCTATTTGGCAACATCCTTGCAAATATGTTCTGAACCCTTTCAAGTTTCACCACATCCTTCCTATAGCAGGGAGACCAGAATTGAACGCAGTATTCCAAAAGTAGTCTAACCAATGTCGTGCACAGTCCCAACATGACCTCCCAACACCTACATCCAATGCACCAAACAATAAAGGCAAGCATACCAAATGCCCTTGCAGTGATTGGAACCAGGTGGACCTCATTAACTATGAAGTTCTTGGTTGGGGTTGTTAACCTTTTTTTTAATTCATTCACAGGCTAAGGGCATGGCTAGCTAGGTGGCATTTATTCACACCCTTAGGGCAGTTGAGAGTCAACCACATTGCTATGTGTCTAGTGTCACATGTAGGCCAGACCAGGTGAGGGTGGTAGCTTCCTTCCCTAAAGGACATTAGTGAACCAGATGGGTTCCTCCAACAATCAGCAATGGATTCACGGTCATCAATAGATTCTTGATTCTAGATATTTATTGAATTCAAATTCACCATCTGCCATGGCAGGATTCAAACCCAGGTCCCCAGGATGTTATCTGGGTCTCTGGATTATCAATCCAGCAATAATACCACTATGCCATCACCGGGGCCAATCAGGAAAGCCTTGGCTGACTGACATAACCAGGAGATTTAGAATCTTCTCAATAGAGGACTAACTCCAAGCTAGCTGGCCACAGCCAGTGTACTGTGCACTAATAAATAAAGGGTGACTTGGTGATGGGACACTGGCCCCTACACAGTTATTTCACTATCCTGGCTACCTGTGACTCCACTTTCAAAGAACTATGAACCAGCGCTCCAAGGTCTGTTTGTTTAGCAACACTCCCCAGGACCTTACCATTAAGTGTATCAGTCCTGCCCTGATTTGACTTTCCTAAATGCAGCATCTCACATTTATCTAAATTAAACTCAATCTGCCACTTCTCAGCCCATTGGTCCATCTGATGAAGGTCCCATTGTGCTGTGAGGTCACCCTCTTCGCTGTCCACTACACCTCCAATTCTGGTGTCACCTGCAAACTTACTAACCATGCCTCTGATGTTCACATTGAAATCATTTATGTAAAAGACGAAAAGCAGTGGACCTTGCACCAATCCTTGTGATACACCTTTGGTCACAGGCCTCCAGTCTGAAAAGCAACCATTCACCACCACCCTCTATCTCCTAACTTCAAGCCAGTTCTTTATCTAGATGGTTAGTCCTCCCTGTATTCCATGAAATCCAACCTTGCTAACTAGTCTACCATGCCAAACCTTGTCAAACACCTTACTAAAGTCCATATAGATCCACCACTCTGCCCTCATCAATCCTCTTCATTACTTCTTCAAAAAACTCAATTAAGTCAGTGAGACTCAATTTTCCACACACAAAGCCACATTGACTATCCCTAATCATTCCTTGTCTTTCCAATTACATGTAAATCCTGTCCCTCAGGATTCCCTCCAACAACTTGCCCACCACCAATGTCAGGCTCACCGGTCTATAGTTCTCTGGTTTTTCCTTACCAACTTTCTTAAATAGTGGCATCACGTTTGCCAGCCTGCAGTCTTCCAGCACCTCACCTGTGGCTATTGATGATAGAAATATCTCAGCAAGGGGCACAGCAATCACTTCCCTAGCTTCCCACAGAGTTCTAGGGTACAACTGATCAGGTACCGGGGGATTTATCTACCTTCATGCGTTTTAAGATGTCCAGTACCACCACCTCTGTAATATGGACACTACTGATGAGCAACAGAGTGGTTATGGTACTGAGCTAGCGATTTAGAGGTTTAAAATGTATTTTTTATTCTTTCATGTGATGTGGGCATCACTGGCTAGGCCAGTATTTACTGCCCATTCCTAAATGTGCTGGAGAAGGTAGTGGTGAACTGTCTTAAACTACTGCAGTCACAGAATCATGGAATTATTTTGGTGCAGATGGAGGCCATTCACAATCTGCATCGCCTCGTTAAATAAATATCATTACCGATTGCCAATCTCCGCTTTTACCCCATACCTTTATATACTGTTGCTCTCCAATAATCATCCAACACCTTCTTGAATGCTTCAATCAAACCTACCTGCGTCAAATTTCAAAGCAGTGAATACCATACTCTAACTACTCGATGTATGAAAATGATTTTCTCACTTAACCCTTGCTTCTTATGAATATCACTTTAAATCTACGCCCTCTTGTTCTTGTTCCTTTCACAAGCAGGAATAGCTTCTCCCTATCTACTCTGTCTAGGGCACTCATGATGTGGGGGTGCTCCTGTTGGACGGGGGTGGGCAAAATCAGAAGTCATGTGACATCAGGTTATAGTTCAAAAGGTTTATTTAAAATCACAAGCTTTCGGAGCACTATTCCTTTGTCAAGTGAAGTAGAGAGGGGCACACAGGCACAGAATATATAGGCAGAGAGATAATATTAAGATAATTCTAGGTAATTAAGAGAATCGACACATAAGTACAAATAGTGTTAGCAGAGCGTTGACAGGCTGAATAACAAGTGAAGGGATGACCTATGAACTGATTAATTAAGGCAGAGAGATAATTACAAATAATGAAAGTAAGATGGTGTTAGAGACAAACCAACTGGCTGGAATAACATGAGTTGGTAGCAGAATCACATGACAAGAGTCTAACAATGGTAACAAGTAACGTATACACATGTGCAGAAGATTTTATGAGACTAATGGGGTGGTTAACCCTTTACTTCATACCTGCCCTGTAAAGTCCTCCTTACTAACATATGGAGACTTATGTCAAACTTGCAGAGCTGTTCCACAGACCAGTCAAGCAACAGCTTGACGTAGTCATACTCACTAAATTGCATGTTACAGCTACTGTCCAAAACAGCTGCATCACATGCAAAAACAAAAATTCCTGGAGAAACTCAGCAGGTCCGGGACCATCCGTGGAGAGAAAACAGAGTTACCATTTCGAGTTCAGTCCCCCTTTTCAGAACAGATCCTTCCTCAGAAGGGTTCTGAAAAATAGTCACTGGACTCAAACATTGGCTCTGCTTTCTCTTCACAAACGCAGCCAGTTTCTCCAGCAATTTGTTTTTGTTTCAGATTGCCAGAATCCACAGTTCTTTGTTTTTGTAGTTAGCTGCATCCTCATCCTTGGGTATGTCCCATCTCACCAACAGATCATACCTACCAGAACTGCAGGCATAGTACACAGTGACACTGAACATCATCAACATTGATTCTTGGGCCCATGAAGTGTCATGGCATGAGTTCAAACATGGGTAAGGCATGAGGGCATATGCCTGTGATGCCAATAGCTATAGTGTATTTTCAGTGATGACCTGTGGGAATAAAGTTCTAATGGAATCCTGCTGAATAATACTTGTAAACAGTGTAAATAGTTAGCAAATGTTCATGAGTTTGCACTAGCATGGATTCCAGCCCTCATCTGGCAAAATCACTCAAAGCCTAGTCATGGAGGCAGTGATCTGTGGTCCAATGCCGAGGACACCAGCCAATGCAGGAAAGTGGAAAGCCATTGGTCCGGCACATCACCCTTGAGAAACTACCCACTGCAGTAATCATCACCAGAGATCCACAATCGCCAACTACAAGTATGTAGAATGAAGGAGAAATCCTTATCCCTTCCTGAGCACCAGCCATCATGAAGGTCTCAACTAAGTCACACATTGGATCAATTGATATTGCTGCTTCAATCAATACTGGACC